TTTTTTTAAATTATGTATCGGAAACTTGCAGCTCTTACTGGCATCTGAATCATATAAACTAGTACATGAAGATGAAAACAAGGAGACTAAGATTTATTTTTTTCCATATACATGTGGAAAAAAAAATAACTTCTACTATTTTTATAGTCTAACTTTAAAAATGTAAGAAAGAAACCCCATTTCTGACCAAGCCTACTTGAAAAATATTTTGATTAGTATCAGGAAAATATAGTACCTTTTCTTAATCTGGATGCTATTAAAATAATGAGGAGTTAGAACCGACTAAACTATCAGAGATACAAGTTTATAGAAAATAAAAAAAATAAATCTTCTGCCTTGTGCTCTGCAAAAGGTAATGTTGACCTGATTCTGACCTATTAGCAACTTATTGGCTGCTGAAAGTGAAACTGGGACTAAAATTGTTACTGTTGGTTCTTCTTAGCAAAACTCATAGAAAATTCTGCACCTGAATTCAATTTCACTTGCACAAATGCTGGAACAGAGATTACTACTGAATGTCACTTTACACTGCATATTACTGAGTTTTCGAACTCCCAAGCCTATAGATGGTGGAAAAAATCCATAGAATTGATTTTTAATGCTTGGCTTAGAGGCATTTTGGAGGGGCATGGGGGATGTTAAAAGAACAGCCTTAAAAGAATATTGCTGTGTGCAGGATAAAACTCTTAGGTCTTGTACGTTTGCTTTTGAAAATCATTTTGACTTTTCTTCTTTCAGCTGTTTCTCAGGTACTTACACTACCTGTATGTGAAATGCAGTGAAAAAATTAATACCACTCTCCCTGGAGTGCTCTGCCCAACTATAAATCAGGTAAGAAACTAGTTCTAAGATTTCCTCCTTCAGTTTCTGTAGTGTGTAACTGACTGAGTAGCTGCGACTGTCTAAAATCAGCTGAGACCTACATTCATTGCATAAGGTATTGTCTGTTAATACAACCTGGATGGAGTCAGATATAAGATGCATTTCTCCATCTGAAAATAAATACATTGCCTTCAAGTCTGAAAAGGTGCCTTTTGTATAAGAAGTTAACAATTTGGAGTTCGGTTTGTAAAGCAAAACATGTCTCACTCTGCTTGTTTGTCTTCAGGTTATGGATTGGATGTGCCTGTTACTTGATGCTCACTTCACAGTTATGGTGATGCTACCAGAAGCAAAAGGATTGCTTTCAAACCTGCATAAGTTTGTGAGAGCCCAAGTAAGTTGCATCTCCTAGGATAATGATTTCATTTTAATGTAGTTTCAAAATATGACTGTTAAGATTATGCAGGGCAGGGTGGGAGTGGAACAACAAATATATAATAAATCAAAAACAAAAGTTTATTCTCTACTGTATGTTTATTCCTGAGCATGAAATGGCGTCTTCCTCATTTTGATATCCAAAGCTGCTATATTTACTTGGGTTGAATATCTGAAACTATGTAAAACAGAAGATAAATGCACAGTGTAACTACACATGAGAAGAATTAAAACCGATTTTATTGTAAATGTCTGTTTTTTCTTTTTAGGTACGATTCTACTCTGAACTTAATAAAATTGAAGGAACTTTGCGAGAACTACAGAGAATTAAACGCCAGAAAGACTCTCAGGCATATTCTATTGAAGTGCTGGAACTTATTTGAATATGAAATGAATTCTCAACACTTATTTTATATTGATTCCTTTTATGACAAGGATGTATTAGCACTCCATATTGGGGATGTGAAAAGTTAAGTTTTCTATGTAGGGAAAACACGGTTACTCTGGCTACGTGGGGAGTTGTGTATTAAAAGCTCTTTTTTGACTGGATGAGACTTTATGTTTTCATATGTAATTGTGATGTATGACTACCCAAACATCCTTTCTGCCATCTGATTCTTGGCAAAGACATTGGAGGATACTTAGATGGAGCTTTGAGGGAAAGGAAGAGAAGCATAAAAAAATCACTTTTTTTTTTATGAATCTCATGTTTGGGGAGAGTATTACAGATACAGACTGCTACTGAATTGTTCTTCTGAATCACCACTCACTTAAAACTGATTTGTTATAAGCTACTTGCAGGACTAAACGTTTATCTGAACAAAGTGGAGCAGATGCTAGATTAATGCTAGATTTCTTGAGGTTTAATATAAAATACATGAGAAAAGACAGGTACATAAATACATGTCCAGAATAGCAGGTAAATATCAGTGTAACGTATCAGTATCGATACACTTCATATTTCCATTATCCTAAACAAAATGGTAGTTGGTTATATATTAACATCAGCAAAATGCCCCTGCTTCCTGATCCTGATTTTACTTAGTCTACAGCTGAACTCTAGTCCTACCATTAGTGTCTTACAAATGCACATGTAACTGGCTCTAGAAAAGAATACTTCAGTACCAATTACAAGTTATGAGATAACTTAGAGAGAGAGACTGGACAGAAGCAGCTCAATAATTTAAACAAGAGCCTATGCTGACTTGGTTATTAATATCATCCAGCTGAAAGTTCTTAAGTTCTTTCCTTTACCGTTGGAGAAAGGAACCCATCCAGATAACAGCTTGGACCACAACTTGGCTATTATCTTCTCCAAAATGCTTTTTGAAATAAGCCTTTCCATCTGTCTCAAGTACAGAGGCAGTATAGAACCTCTTACCTAAACTTCCTCTTCCTGCTGTATTCAATTCACTTGTAAATATGCTCACTGAACTATGCCAACAGACTCAAAAAAGGGAACTTTTTTGCAGATGCTTTGTCTTAAGACACAGGTAGGCAAGTAAGTTAAGGGGTTAGGGTTGATTTCTCAGTAAGCTGTGCACTAGAACGGGCTACTTTATAGCCCTAACTCTGGAAGTTAACATACCTCTCCATGTATCCATTTTTCCAGCTATAGAATCACAATTCTTTGCGTTAGTGAAGCACTTCCAGATCACAGCTGATTACATGTAAGGTATTTAAGAGAGGGTATTCTGGCTTACAGTATTTGAAAGCAAATGATTCTTAACACCTTATATATATTACAGATATGCAAAACCCTCAGTATTTTACAGATGCTAGGACTCATGATGCTACAGGCTGTTTGAGTATTATTGTAGTAGATACACAACATAGTCTTGCTTGATTTGTAGTGTACAAGTGGCAGAGTTCACAGGTGGGGTTTTTTCAAGATCACAGACATAGTGAAATATACACAACCTGTATCTCTGTATTCATAGATTTGAAGAGTTACCACAGTATTTTGCAACCTTGTAAGAGCTTAAAATTAGCTTATCAGAAGCAATCAAAGTGTAAATTTGAAAGATTCAGAATACAAATGGGGTATAAAGGTGTAAATGGGGTTAGGCAATGTTGTCTACTGCTTTTGCTGCATCTGGAGGGTGTGTAAGACATGGCTCTAAGCCTGTGCAACTGCAGTACTGAATACAAAAGAGTGTAACTGAATATAAAAGAGATGAAGATAGAAACCCGGATAGAAAAGTGCAAATTGGGTTAAACCCTGCTGCCTGGTGCCATTGTGACATTGTTACATGCTTGATGCTGCAGCAGGTTGGTGGGTTTAATGAGGTTGTTTCTCAGCCTGAGCAACAAGTTAATGAACAAAAAGCACTTCAAAAATTACTATAGAAGAATGCAAAATAAATTACATATTGGATATACAGCTGGCATGCTTTTGACATGACCAGTACTGGGTTGCGCGGCACACAGAAATGTAAGTGGAGTGCTGAGAGAAAATGGGAGTGTGAACATGTTTATTTGCTAAAGACAAGACTTCGGAGACTTATGTATGAAAAAAAAGGCTGATAGTAAAAAAATGTAAGATGTTTTGTGTGCTTTGTGAGCTTTTGCTCAGGAAAGGTACCCTCAAATTCAAGTTCTGGTATTAGAAACCCTATAGGGTAATTGGTTTGTGTAGACTTGTAACCCTTTGGGGTCTCTGGCAAATTGGAAAATGAGGGAATACAAAATAGACGAAGCTGATCTCTGTCTCGTAGTGCTCCAGTGAAGTGCAGACACTTTTTTCAGAGAAAGTAGATTAAGCAAAGGGCGGGGCCCTGTGCGATCTTCCCCGTCTGTTTCACTTTATAGCGATCGCGGTGAGCTGCAGTAGGGTTTTAATACCACAGAATCACCCAGGTTGGAAGAGACCTCCAACATCACCTCGTCCAACCTCTGACCTAACACTAACAAGTCCTCCACTAAGCCATATCACCAAGCTCTCCAGTTTCTCCCTAAAAGCTGAAGCTTTAAAGCACGGGCCCTGAACGTGGCAGGTGTTAGGGCTGGGGGGGGGAAGAGTTTGGCCGCCCCTTCAGGGCGGTGCAGGCGAGGGGAGCCCGTCCTGAGGGGCTCCCCGGTGGCTCCGCTTTCGGCGGGCGATGCGGGGAAGGGGCAGAGCCCCGGCTCGGGCCGGAGCGGCGGGGAGGGAGCCCCGCTGCCCACCGACCTGCGCGGGCAGCCGCCCCCTGAGGGATGTGCCGGCGGCTGAAGCCGGGGGGGGGGGACGTGGAGCCGAGGGGGCGCCTCTGCTGAGGGCTCGGGTCGAGTTCGGGGAGAGAGGAGCGCTGCCGGGCGGCGTGGTGCAGGTGTGGGGGCGACGGGGCAGAGCGGACTGAGGGGCGTATGAGGAGGCTGAGGGGGGAACGAGGCGGCTTCAGCCGGGCGGCGGAGCTGAGGGGAACCGGGCTGAGGGGAATGGGGCTGAGGGGAGAGGGAGGGGGGGGCGACGGACGGCGGGGCTGAGGGCAGCTCGTGCCAGGTGGCGGCGTGTGGCGGCCGGGGAAGCGGAGCGCTCCGTCCCGGCGTGAGAGGGAAGGCGGTGGGCAGGGTGCCTGAGGGGGCTTTGGAACAAGCGGGGGGCAAGCGAGGGGCACGGAGCCTCCCGACCGCGCCGGCCCCAACATGGCTGTGGCGGGCGGCGGCCGCAGCGCCCCCTGGCGGCGGGCGGCGGGCGGCGCCGGTCACGTGAGGCGCTCGGGGCCTGCTGCCGCCGCCGCTTCCCCCAGTCAGAGCGGAGCGAGCCGAGGCAGAGACGAAGAAACAAGATGGCGGCCGGCGGCGATCCGGAGCGGGACGCCGGCAATTCGGATTGAGCCCTCGGCCCTCCCAGCTCGGCGGCCCCCCCTCCCCGGCCCGGAGCCCCTCGCAGGGGGGGGAGCTTCCCCGTAGCAGCCCGTCCGGACTCGGAGCGCCCTCCCGAGCCTCGCTTCCCTCCCCCTTTCCCTTCCCCCCCCCTCCCTTCTCGGCCAGCGCCCAGAGATGCGGGGCCGGCGAGGCAGGCCGCCCAAGCAGCAGCAGCAGCAGGCGGCGGCGGCCGGCGCTCAGGCGAGCTCCCCGGCTCCGCCCGCCCCCGCGGGCCCCATCGGGGGGCTGAGGTCCCGGCAGCGGGGCAGCAGCCGCGGCAGGTGGGCGGCCTCGGCCCAGGCGGAGACGGCGGGGCCCAAGCAGAAGGGGGCCGGGGCTGCCCAGGCCTCTTCCTCCGCCGGCGTCTCCCCCAGGGGGGGCAGCAAGAGGAAGGGAGGCGGCGGCGGCGGCAGCACCCCTGGTGGGGGAGGCAGCAGCGGTAAGGGTAGGGGCAGGGCTGGGGCTGGAGGAGCAGGGGGAGGAGGCGGAGGAGGCAGCTGCAACAGCCAAGGCAGGGCTGCCTCGTCCAGGAGGAGCATCAGCAAAGTGGTGTACGACGATCATGAGAGTGAAGAGGAGGAGGAGAGCATGGTGTCCGAGGAGGAAGAGGAGGGAGACCCCGAGGATAACCAGGACTCCGACGAGGAGGAGGAGGAGGAGATCATGGAGGAGGAGGACGACGACGACTCTGACTACCCTGAAGAGATGGAGGACGAAGACGATGCCAGTTATTGCACTGAGAGCAGCTTCAGGAGCCACAGCACCTACAGCAGCACCCCAGGTAGAGAGGCAGGGGGATGAACGGAAACGAGCCGAGGGCACCCCACACGCTCCCTCTGGGTGTGCAGATACGATCCGCCTGTATTCTTCCTCCCGTGCGGGGACGGGAGGGATGCCTGAAGCACTCACAGGGAGTAGGGGCATGCAAATTAACCGCTCGCAGCCCCACGGATGCAGGGAACAGTAGAAGGTGCTTACAAACACATGCAGCGAGGGGAGGGAGGGAAGGAAGGAAGGAGGGAGGGCAGGACGTGCTGTAACAAGGGGATGCTTTGCAAATATGCATGGTGATCCTGGTCACTGCAGAAATGCCTGGTACACCAGGACGTGTTGCAAACAGTATAAAAAGTGTACGGAGCGTTCACTTAATACTTATAAACAAGGGAAACGAGATGCATGCCTTGCAAAGGGGTCGTTTCAAATTTGTGCAGGAAAGGATGGCTTGTGCTTGTGAATATAACTTGCTGCTGAAAGGAAGCACATGCAACTTGGAGTGGCCTAGAAAACCCATAAGCACTGATAATTTGCAGGCTTTTGCAATCAGAGGTGTAACTGGAATCAGCATTTACTGGCTTTAAGACAAAACTAGCTTACCAAGGAGGGAAATGAGGTGCATTGTTCAAAATGGAGATTGCATTGTTATAGTTTGGGGAAAAGTGCACTGGGCCTCATTGCAAGGGTGTAAACCTAGTTTTAGTTAATGAGGCATTCTTAAACACAAAGATTAAAAGTTGGAGGTTGAGTCAAAAGTCTTGGCATTAAATTCTTCATTTATTTCAAGACTTGGCAACCTTTAAAACTCACGTTTGGCATAAAGCTTTTTAAACATCATTGAGATTATATTTTAATTTTTTTTTAACCTCTAGTAGGAAATTTGGGCACAGTTCTTTTAAGGCCTGTACTTCTGTTTGTCCATAATTAGTGCACTAGCTGTGTGGTTTTCAAGCTTCAAAAATTCTTTATCTAAACTTTAACACTTTGGGTTTATTTGAATTTATTCCAGAATGGAGATCAAGTTCAGGATTTTTTTTTTAAAGTCTCTGAACCAGGAGAGTAGTTAAATTTAGGCGTAGCCTAGGAGTGTTTCTGAATTGGACTACAGGATAGCAAACACTGCTGCTGTACAAGTATTCGGCCCATTTGGAAGGGGGCAGGAACAGGTTGTTTGTGTAAATGCATTGCATCTTAAAAAAAAAAAAAGTGTAATTTTGAGTAGTTAGCAGCTTTTTTTTTTTTAAGGGGGAAATACTGAGTACTGAATGTGTCATTTGGTTTTATTTTAGTGAGTTAGTGGTATCAGCCTTTATAACTATAACAGACTTCATAACAGTTCTTTAAAAAACTGTGTGAATGCGGTTGTTTTTCAGTCTGCATACCTATACACAGGAATTTAAATTAATTAAAAAAAAATCATAATTATGTATTTACTTTAGAAATTGGGGACTAATTTTAGTTTAATTTGGTTGTAGGCCAACTCTAACAAGTACCTTATATTTTTTTAATATTTGTTACTTAAGTTTGAGGTGTAGCTTTGCAGAAGAAAAATGTCTGTACTTTCTTTTGGCTCTATTTTCTGTTCTGGTAACTTTCATTTACTTTTTTTTGGTTACTTGGTAACTGTTTTGAGAGCCCTTTTGTCAGGGAAAGAATATTTTATGATTTTAATTGGCTAGGTCAGGAAAGTATCTTTGACATGAACATCCAGGTTTAAAATGAATTCTGCGAAGTATGGGTGTATTCAATTTTTGAAATGTACTTAAGAGTTTTGGCAAATAAGATAGGTCTGTGTTCATTGTTGTGCAAGCACAGACAGGTTTTATGTGGTATTTAAGTATATCAGAAACCATTTTGGTAATTTATATGGTTATTTTTTACTTCATCAAGGTGACTACAGTTAACTTTAGGAATAAGTGTAAGTGTAAGCATTTTCATCCTTGTGTGCTTTTCTTAAACTGAGTGTTGATTGTTAAAATCAATCTTGTTTTGGCTTTTGCTGGCAGTTCTCATTTAGCTCAGTATTGGCCTAAAGGCCTCTCTCTTCTCACTTTTGCAAGGAGGAAGGTGCAAACTTTTCACTTGGTGAGCTCAGTCTGTTTTGTTTCTTCTGAATAAATGCCTACATTGTGATTTTGGCACCGATTGAAATCTTGGTCTTATCATAATCCAAGAAGAGACACTTGACATTAGAACAAGTTTAATAGGCAAGAAAAAGATCCATGTAACCTCTGTATCTTTTTATCTGACAGTGGCCAGCACAGAGAAAGCATTACAAGTAGGGCAGGCACACAGCGATACACCTCCAGAGCACCTTCCCAGGCTCCAGTGCTCTTTGACCCAGGTGCATTCAAAGCCAGAATTGGTTTTCATATATCTTTTTCTTCTTTCATATATTTGTTTTGAAACGAGATAAATTGTAACATACAACACTAAAGTTCTTGTAGTTAATGGTGAAGCTTGAAGGACCATCTCCTTTGTTTTAAACTGCCCCAACAGAATCGTGCTGTGCACACTGGTTTGTTTTTGTTTTCTTTTTCTGCTAGAAGAGACGAGGAGCGATTGTTCTCTACTTATCTCCTCTAGATCACTTGCAGCCTGAATTGCTGCAACCATCAGGATGGGGCTTTGGGGGCTGAGTTCATTTTTTTAAAGCAGGGTATTGAAAAATTGCAATACCAACTTGTCCTACCAGCCAAGATTTTGCATTTAAATCGCATCCAATTTAAGTAATGGAATATTTCCTTTTTTTCAACCTTACATTCTTAACAATGGATTAAAAGCGCACAGTGCAATGTCTCTGGCCAAGTAAGGGTGGATTCTTGTGCTCTGTGTGATGCTTACGATACATCTCAGACTTGATTAACTATTACTCTAGCATTATTCAAGCATTTAGGGAAAGAAAATCTTCAAAATGATAAAATGCCTTTGATGTAATGCTTAATAGTGGTGTAGTTAAAGTTTGTGTGAATGAGTATGATGTTTGATTGCTTTCCCTTCTGCTGGATAGACCTTTGGTAGAAGGATTTTGCATGGGATGTTCTTTCTCTGTTATCCCTTTGTATCCCCAGAAGGTAGATACATTTTTAGGATGGATATCCCATATACCTTGTCACTGAACTTGTTTGCAGTTACCTGTTTGCTGTAACTTCTTATTTAGGCTTGTCTCAGTTGCATTGTTTTCCACACATTGCAGGATTTTAAAAGAAGGTTTTAATGAAGGCGCCTAGATAGCCCCCTTTTTTTAACGTTTTTTTCATCAAAATCTTGGAAAACTAGCTTGAGGAAGAGCTGCATTTCTAGATTTGGGCTGAGATAATCATTAGTCTACCAAACTGATACTCAACAGTAGAGTTGAGTGAAACAATTTGTCATTTAAGATACTTTTTTTTTTTTGGGGGGGGGGGGGGGGGGTGGATGTTGCTGTCCCTGAGCATTACAGTGATCGACCATCACTGCTGTTAACCAGTTACTTCGCTTTGATCTTCAGGATGAAAGAATTTAACAGAAGACTAGGTGCAGTATTTAGTGTGTCTGTAGTAATTTTATATTTAAAATATCTTTATATCTTCGTGCTCCTGAAGAGTTAAGTGGAGACGTTGAGATGCAGTAGTAAGATACGCAGCCTCTTTTGTTTGTTGTGGGAGAAGATTTGCCAGCCTCCCAAACATCTTACCGGTTTTCTAAATCTGGCATGCTCTTATTTTACAGTTTAAGATCCTAAACTTTGATATGTAATCTATCGCTAGTGCATCCAGCTAATCATGAAAAATGTGGAAGACAAGTTCAAGTCCTGGCAAAGAAGTGGTTTAAAAGGCCAAGCTAGTGGCTCGTTCTGCTGTACACACATGCAAATTTGCATTTTATCTGAAGGGAGTATTTGTCAACATTTTTGTAAGCAATTCTGTGCAGCAAATGCTGCACATTATCAAATTATATACATTTTTAAGGGTAAAAAGGTAAAATAACTTGATGCACTGCAGGTGGTTCTGTGGCACAAACTCCTTTGTAGGTCTGCAGTAAAATTTCCTAACCGACCTTTGTGTTGTGTAAAACTATCACACAGTGAGTAAGTGGATTTTAGTGGAATCGGGGAGGAGCTCGTGGGGCTACTAACTTCTGAAATTGGTTAGAGCGTATCCGGAGTGTGTCCCAGCTAAGAAATTGTCTGTCAGAATGTTCCTGAAAATGGGTACAATAATACTTCTTTAAAAATTACTGTAATTTGCCTGGATTCTAGGCACAAAAGAAGTCTGACTGAGTACTTCTTAGAATGGCAGTGTGGAATTTCATTTGCTACGTGTCTTGCACTATCCAAATGTTAAATGGTTATCCAAATGTTAAAATGGTGCTTTAGGATATAGGGATTTTATATTCTTGGTTCCTACTGAGATCGCAGTGATGACTATGATGTTGAAAAATCACATTTCTAATGTACAATCAGTAGAAGAAGGCCATTTTAATGTACAATCATTAGAGAGCTCCTGTTTGGTTTAAAGTACACTGATGTGTACAAAATGAAAAAACAATCACAGAAGCATCCAACTAGGTTTTTAAAGAATATAAAGACCTAGTTCTGCACAAAACAAGGCAGTAGTCATCCTTAGCTCAGGAGCACATGTCGAGAATTTCTGTGAGATGAGTGCTCTCGGGATCTAGTCTAGTAACTGGTTATTTTCTCCCCTGTGATTCAACTTGCTAAGCTTTCATGGGGCTTGGTATGGCTCATTTTTAATGCTGGCTTAGATCGTTAAATTTAAGCTGTTTGGATTTTTCCTTTTTCCTGGCAAAATAAATAACTCAGGTACAATTGTTGTGGAGCAATATTCAAATTGGAGTTGCACTTAAAAACAGAGTTACAGATGCATCTTATTTCTTCAGAAAATAAAATCTGGAACTGGTTATTTAACTTACGAATATTGGAAACATGCTGGTTGTCCTGTAGACATTTTTTAAATGAGTTTTTGAAAAGTGTTTTGAAAATTTTGATTTTTCTGTTGGTACCGT